ATATATATATATATTATAGCTATTTCCGAATCTCTATTCAAGATCTGAACAATGTCTTTTCATAGTCATAAACCAACATAAACTGTAAAAAGATTTAATCAAATATGAAGTAAAGAAAAAAAATAAAAATACACTCACACTGTCGAGAAAAATGTACTACATTTTAATAAATATTTGTTTGAATAGTGCCAGTTAAATATGTACTAAATATAAACATATATTTATTTAGTACAAGAACAATTGATTTGGTTTAATTATTGGTGCACAACTTTGCTTCCGCCGTTTTCCTATAGATGGCTTTAGCGGTAAATGGTGGTCGAAATAAATAGATCATAGACGTCATACAATAAACTTGGGCATCTGTCAACATAACCCCATAGAAACATTAATCGATTTGTGTCTGCATCATAAAGTTATTCTCGATTGAAAATATCAGTTTACGAGCCAAATTCTCGTCATTTGCGGGAGGTTTTAATTTTTTGCTTCAATATGAAGAAATCTGCGGCTGAAGCTCATCAAATGCTCTCAAATACTTACGGTGAGGCCGCTATTAGTGAAAGAACGTATCGTGAGTGGTTTCAACCACTTCAAGAATGGTGATTTTGACATCCAAGGTCATGCTCTGTATTTGATGGGACCAGCTCGGCGTAGTGTATTATGAACTGTTAAAACCGACTGAAACAATCACAGGCGATCGGTCGAACGCAATTGATGCGTTTGAGCCGAGCATTGAAAGACAAACGGCCGCAATACAACGAGAGACACGATAAAGTGATTTTGCAGCATGACAATGCTCGACCCCATGTTGCGAAAGTGGTCAAGACATACTTGGAAACGTTGAAATGGGAAGTCCTACCCCACCCGCCGTATTCTCCAGACGTTGCTCCCTCTGATTATCACTTGTTTCGATCAATGGCACACGGCCTGGCTGACCAGCACTTCCGGTCTTATGAAGAAGTAAAAAATTGGATCGATTCATGGATAGCCTCAAAAGATAACCAGTTTTTTCGACGCGAGATTCGTACGCTACCCGAAAGATGGGAGAAAGTAGTGGCCAGCGATGGACAATACTTTGAATCATAAATGTATAACCAGTTTTTTACAATAAAACCTCGAATTTCGGAAAAAAAAACGGCGGAAGCAAAGTTGTACATCTAATATTATTATTTTTTATTTAACAAATATTTCTCTCCTGTAAATAAATACATTAGTACATTTATTAAAATTTAGTACATTTTTTTCTCACTGTACGTAGTTCGCATTTATAATTTACCAATTTAAATTTCTTAATTTTCACAGCTCTCTTCGTTGTCAAATCGACTACCAAATCAATAAACGTGTATTATCAATCGTGTAGTATCTACATTCGGAGAAGTTAACTCTTATCGAGTACTCACGATTTCAAAAAATCACATTAAAATTATAATTCTTTATTTTAATCGTTACATAATACGTAACCGCGTAGCCGAACTGAACGAGAGAAGAGTAAAGATTTCCATATAACGTTAAGATCTCGAGTTTTCTCTATATGGAGAATGTGCAGTCCGGCAATCGTCTCGATGTCGAAGTGCGTTCGCGATGCGTCGCGCGGTTTCTCCGGAAACGTTCGTTCTCCAACGCGCGCGTAGGAATCGCGGCACATGGCCCCTTTTTTTTATCGCGCGGTTCGCCGACGTGGGCGAAATGCCTCTGCAAGTGAACGAAAGAAACGAAAATGTAATTCCTTTATAATAAAAAAAAAAAAATCGCGCCTTGACAGCTGTTATTTATTACCTTTACACGTAACAACGAAGTTCACATATCAGAGATGTTCCAATCTCTAAAAGATCAATTTTCTAAACGACAATAGTGATCTTAAATCGACCTATTTTGCGAAAAATTGATTTTTCTAACTAAAAGAAGCTACTTTAAACTGATCTCTTTGTAAAGAATTTTTCTTTTTAACAAAGAAAACTATTTTGAAGCGATCTTTTTGTAAAAAATCGATTTTTAGCAAATCGATCCGGAGATCGCACATTCCTCCAAGTTCACATATCTATTGCATGGTTCAAAACTTGATAAGGACTAATCAATATAAGCGCGGGTTCTTTATAATTACAGTTAAAATTACACAATTGAATATCTAATAATACACAAGTCAGCAATGGATGCAATTCAAAGCGAAATAAAAAGCAACCTGCACGCATAAATAACTGCAGAATAATCATAAATTTTATCAATTAAAATTAAAATTAATAAAATAAATACCAAAATGCTTTTGGTTATAATTTCTGAAAAAGAATAAATGTATTATATAAAAATAAAACAAAATAAAATAAATACTCGAGTTTCTATTGTTAAAAAGATGGCTATATGTTTGAAGTGAAACAAAATTTTCCATCGAAATATAATAATGTAGATGGAGTGCTTGTGAAAATTTTATTTTTATTTCATTTTAAATTCTATTTACTTCCTCTATTTTCTTTAAAGCAGTCATTACGTTTATAAAACGCCTATACATTTATCAAATCCCACAAAATTGGGAACATCATGAATGTTTTTTCGTTATTAGTCCTATGTGCCAGTTCTGTCAACGCGGAATTAAAAGTTAACTAGTTTGCCAACGAGATACTTCAGTTAAATGCGTTGATTCGATTCATCTCGTTCAATCTGCTTGTCGACGAGCGGAAGTTTATGCATGACTTGATATTATTACGAATAATAAAATGTATGAAACGCATATGTATAAATCCTAATGGAAAATTGCTTGTAAATCCATATAATATAGGTAAAATGATTATAAAGGAATTGGATCGTAAAAGACTGTTGTAAAAATTATATGCAATACGACGATGGGAGGTAGAATTCGAGCATATGTTTTCAGAGATAGGAGTATTTTTATCTATTTTCGTTATTCTTTCTTGCTTTCCAAAGAATAGTATATATTTAGTATATTTATTCTTCTTATATGTAAGCTTATATGTAAGCGTGCGTTCATTATGGAAGAATAAGTACTAAAAAATTCGCGTCTTCTTATCGATCTTAGTCTTGAACTCTCGGGATATCGTGCTGCGTAGTATGGCGACATGAGAAGAGGTCGAATGAACGGTCTACTGGAAATAACAAGTAGAGGACATCACTTCTATTTTAAGTCGTTAATAGAAAATTATTTCGTACTTTTAAGATCTGCTTTCTACAGCTAAACTAATGTACACTTTTCGAATTTAAAGTGAAATTTGATTTTTGGCAAAAACGAAAAAGAAAGTTCTAGTGCAGAAATAAAAATATATCTGTAATTTACGCTACTCGTCGCAATTGATTTCTTTTCATTCATAACTTTGTTGGCAATTACAAGAATTGATACGTAATGTAACTTTAAACATAATTTGTAGTAAATGATAATAAGATGGTAACACATGTTTTCCTTAATTTGCGCTTCAATGAATAAAGGATGTTGGATTTCCGTTCCAGAAAGGACACGATTTCCGAGAAATATATAACAAGAGATAAGTATTATAGTTGTGAGTACGCCCACTGATGTAAAACGTCTATCGTATGCAGTTCTTCGTGTGCAAATGACTCACATTAATCGCTATGTGTGAAAATTAATATGGTTAAGACACTTTTATCGCGGTAATTTTATTTGGAATACATCACTTTTATCTTCTTCAGTTATTTTACTTATAAAGATACTTTCTATCTAACGATAAAAATTGATGGTGTAAACTTCGAGAGGCAGAAACTAGTCCCATTACAAGAAGCTCAAGGAATTTGATTAAAATAAGAGAAATCGCTAGAATCATTCATGAAAAGATTTTTCGAAGGCTCTTTTCATATTTGAATTCTGATTGCCAGCTATTTAGTGGCAGTCTCTTTATTTCCATATCTGTTATTATTACATTTCGCAACTCAGACACATTCAGGTACTTACTTATTCTATAATACGATATCATTCTTCATTCGTACACAAACATCTAAAAAATAATTTTGCTACTAAATTAAAAAAATTTAATGTATAAATTAGAAGTGTTAAAAAATGTGTCAATATTGTTATGTTACTTAGGAATAATATACACTTATAATCTACATTAAATGATATATTCATAAAAAAATATAATTTATTTAGAATAATTATTTTAATTATTTTAGTGTGTGGAATTAATATACTTTTAAAACGTATTAAGATTAATAAGACGCACAAGATAGTTTTAACATAATCAATTTTCTACAATGATATATATTTGGATAGATAATTAAATGGATTATTTATATAGTACATTCGATAAAAATAGTGAATAGTGTTCGGAAATATTTTAAAGGTAGAAACTAGTTTTCTGAATGATATTTTGGCAAAGCAGTATACGAAATGAAAAATCATAAGGTTACCGTACCTCGCGTTGGCCCTTTTCGCAAACCGCTTCTGTCGTTCTCTTCTTCGGCAAGAAAGATTGAGAAAAGAACAGCCCTCCAAATCGGTCGCTGGACCGGTACAGACTGCGTTCGCGAGGCACATTGCGACGCGGTGCCGCGCCGCGTCGAGCGGAGAGATGATCTCATCTGCGTTTTTCTCTCTTCCTATACCCTCATCCGATCTTTCTGTCGTACGCGTATGCGTATGCCCCGCAGTCACATTCTTACGCAATACACGCAACCGATCATCTCAACGACATCTCAAACGTTCTCATTCGTCTCGACGAATTTCGACATTGGCACCTTCGAAGGGTTACTCGGATGACTTGCAAAAATTCAAATAAAAAATACTCTAATGAAGGGTGATGTCAGTCTGAGCAAATATAATGAATCTTAATATAATAATCAATCTATAACTTGTTAGTCTTAGTTATAAGTTTGCTTTGAAAATAATATGGTACTCTAAAACTTTTCGAGTGAATCAAAACTGGCTCAATTTTCTCTAGAATGGAATTCTACACGAAAGAATTTAGAGAGTAAATATTTCAATTGAAGTTAGGAAAATAATTAAAATGTAACGAAAATTGAATAATCATAGGGGGAATGCATTTTTAATCACAGTTCCAATACATCATACAATCGATAGTCGGTTAAAAAAATTAATAAAATAAAGAAAAAATGAAAAACTTGTATAGTATTTGTTTTTGCCAAGATTTGTATTTTATGGAAAATTAGAAATTCTGTGTGCAGATAATATCGACATTATTTTCGTCATACATTTTTAAACCGCCATCAAATATTGATGAATCCACAGAGTGCTTAGCAGTTTCGGCAAAGCCGATTATAGAGGAAACGTGACTCTATGCGCGAGACCAGCTAATAAAGTTCATACCAAACAGGTAAGCATGTTGTGATAAATAAAGAGATGCTATAATAGGGATTGGTAGTATAAGGTAAGTATATATATATATATATTATACTAAATGCAAAAAGTTACAATACATTTGATGTTCGTTTTTTTCACTTTTTTTCTCCTTTAACATTATTCTCTCATCCGTCTTTTATCGCAGTAACGTTTCAATTGGTTATACACACAAACTGGCCTGGCAGACCAAAATAATAATGTATACTACAAAAATTCATAACCGCCGTCCTTTAATTATTACAGTTATTTGTGTTTTCTTCATATCCTCTGTCTCTTTTCTTCGTTCATTATTACATTTATCTTTATTATTAATATTAATAGTTACTTAAAAACGGAAACATTCACACTAAAAATTTGCAGAGCTCTCTTTCAAGTTATGTAAAGCGATGATCTCGCGTAACTGCGGCTTTGAACACGTTGTACTTGAACACACGGATATGCACATGGATAAGGACGTAGTGAAGCCAAATGGCGCGCGTATGGTGTGTAATATTTTATATTAGGTGGCACGCGAAAATCGGAAGTCAATTTGCGATTTCAAATATTAAACAACTATGTCGCTCAGCTTAAAATACTCTCTCTCTCTCTCTCTCTTTCTCTCTCTCTCTTTCTCTCTCTCTCTCTCTCTCTCTCTATGTCTGCACGATTGCGCGGACTGATAAACAAGTATCGAATGTATAATCGATTTTAAGTTGGGATAAAAATGATGGAGACGGTTTACCGTTTAATGTACAAGAGGATCTAGAATGACAATTCTCTCTTAGTCATACAAATATTCGTTTAAATATATGCTCTACATATGTATACAAAGTTGTGAAGCTGCTGGCGCTTCAATATCTCAAAATCTCTCTAATGTTACACTTATCTCTCACATATCATGAAAAGAGAAACATTTTACCATTGCAGTATTAATTTAAACCTTGTTTTTTTTTAAGCGATAAATATATTTGCTAAACAAAGTGCAGGTCACTGCAAAAATTTTGCCTTAACTGAGCATGAATTGTATCTAATATCACCATACTATATTCAAATTTAATTTCTTCTTTAACACTTTGACTGCTATATTTTACAGTTATGTGCACAATACTCAGTTTTCTTGGGAATTATGGCACTTATGTATACGAATGACTCTTTTTTAATTCGTATTTGTCAATGTGACTAAAGCGAGAGAGGTAAAATTCAGAATCTTGGGAATGCCATGATTTCCAAGAAATTGCGGATGAAATTTCAGTCGAAGTGTTAAGAATTTGTAACGAATAACGTGATCACACCGTGCTTCAATTGGTATGTTTTACTTGATGTTAAAGAGGATGTCATGTAAAAATAAAAATATGTTTCTGTACAATAATTTTTTTAAAAATATAAAAAAAAATATTCTTGAAAATGATTGTTTAATAGCTCAAGTAGATCAAAATTTTCATATTAGAATAAAATGATTATAACTGAATGAAAGGAAACATGAAAGTGACCTATCTTAATTTTGCGATCCTCTCTTTCATAATCACATACGCAATTCTGCCGCAAGGAAGAGAGAAGTGATAAAGTTGAGTGCTCCATCCTGTATATTTCTAGTTCAAATTTAATGATAAATTTTTCTTTCTTTTTTCGTTTTTTTTTAACAATATTAAAGTATGCCAATTACGTGATAATTACTGACAAAATTCCGGAAATACGTTTCCACGCGTTACTAAACTAACTTATAAAGAAGTAGGATAAAAATGGGTCGAACCTTCATTACTTCCTACGTAGCGCTTTTTTTATAATACCTATAACGGAAAGATAGGCTTAAGAATTGCGAGATATTGTATACCTAACGAGAATGTTTGAGATGCTCGTTGGTTTTACTCGTCCTTTTTTTATTTGTTTTTAATTACTTTCCGAAAAAAAGCAAATCGCAGCTACGCGAAACCTATCCCTTTGTCCGCGTCTGCGTCAGAGCGGCCGCGTTATCATCGCCGCCATTGTCATTATATCATTGTCACTTACTAGTCTGTCATCGTCATCGTCATTGTCCCAAGTCTTGTTAAACGAGACATTAACATCACGTATAATACTACATGATGAATATTAATCCCCTAGAGTGCTTAAAAAAATGTAACGTTAAATGAGGCGGGGCCCTCGAAGAGGAGGCGCGGTCGCCGTGTCCCAGACGCGGGGCATTGCGACGAGTTTTTTACTTTTTTCTTTTTAATTACAAACTACAGCGGATGTATCGCGCTCGTGCGTGATCTACGTTAACAATCTCCACGATGATCTTGATCACGACGACGAAGAATACAAACTAACAAACTTTCTTTCTCTCATGCTCTCTCTCTCTCTCTCTCTCTCTCTCTCTCTCTCTCTCTCTCTCTCTCTCCATCTCTTTCTCTTTTTCACTACTTATTGTCAAATGCAAATTTTTAATATCCTTTTTTCATCAAAACATAAAAAGGGAAAATTAAAAATTTGCTTGACGTTACTTTCTACTACAGTATCGCGCGAATTTCAGACCATTCGCTTCCAAAATTCCGTTAGTTTCATAAAGGAATGAAGGCTGATAGGCCAGGAGAGACACATCGCCCAATCTCTAATAATCACAGGATTCTTCTCATGCATTGTGAGCGTTGCTGACTAGAACTCTTGTTTCACTTCATACTCTAAGCAGTCTACGACATATGAATGTACTTCGTCAAAAAAATGTGAACAGATAATATTGTCCCGAGAGAAATTGATACATTATATTCCGAAAAAGTTGTTACTCACATAGCACGAAAATGTTCTGTCGCTACGTTGGACGCATTTTCGCACTGTGTGTATAGTTTTAATGCTCACATTTAATGCTTGGCGAATTCTGTGATTACCAGAAGACATTATTGACCCTCGTGAAAACGCTGCCAACTGATAATTAGCGATCGAGCGATACAACGTCAGACCATGCGCGTGCGCGATCCTTATTAACTTTATCTAAACGAAAGTAATAAGTATGTACGTGAAGGGAAAGGGAGGTAGATGCTAGGTAAAAAGAGTTTAGGAGAGAGGACAGAGTAGCGCAGAAAGATGTGTTTCTAGAAGAAAAGGGATAGGGAAGGAAGGTAAGACCAGGAATAAGATAGGCACGAACAAAAAGTTCCGAACTGCAACGAGACGCGGCCAGGATTGTTTACTTATATGCGGATGGAGCAAGGAAAAACGGCGAAACCAGTTATTGCAGTTTAAAAGCATTGTCCTGTCTACGATCGATACCGATCAATCGATGATCGGCAATATAAATAAAGGAGAAGATCGTAGAAGAAAAAAAACTGTCGCCTTTCCTTTTATTTTTTTTTTCTGCCGCGTGCAACCGGGACACAGTCTTGGGATCCTGTAGTCGTTTCGTCGGGATTTGTTCCGTGCGATTTTTATCTACGCTGATTCTTCATTTGGGGCAACGGGACGTTTTCGTTAGCGGTTGATGAGTCGACTCAAAAGCGTATGAGATTTATGCATGTCACAGCGACACTCCTTCATTCGCTTCGCTCTCGCTTGGTTGCCCCTCGCTTAGTTATGTGGTGGTGGTGGTGGTGGTGGTGGTGGTGTGTGTGTGTGTGTGTGTGTGTGTGTGTGTGTGTGTGTGTGTGTGTGTGTGCGTGTGTGTGCGCACCGGAATTCGCTCCGCTGCCTTTTCGTCCTGCGATTTGGCGAGCCGGAGGAAACGCGCGGAGTGACGAATGTTGCGCACTACTCGCCTCACAAAGAGTTCCGACACAATTTCTCCGATTTCAGATCACGTTCCGTTGCCTTTTTCCATTTGCACTAAAATTTGCCACACTCCGACGTTCTCCTATGTGCTCTTCTTGTCGCACGGTTGCACGTGTTTGTGTATGTATGTGTCTATGATTGCGTACGAGTACTTCGCGTCGCAAAGTCCTACGGGATTACCCGATTGTCGATGTACGAAGGACGAATTCGAACCAATGATCATCGCCTGACCGATGATTTCAGATACACACACCACTAAGCTCAAAGTCTCGTGTGAGAAGTGATCCTCGGTCGAGATTTCAATTGGCACGCCATCCATGTTCGAGCTCATATTTCATACGATTCTTTTTTGAGCTACGTCAACTAATATCGGTTGTTGCTGTTGCTTGACGAACGTTGCAAGCGACGTTTAAGCATGAGATTGGCGTCAGTGATGAGGTCGTGCGACATACGAAATAGTCCTAGATTCCGCTTCTTGAAATGAAGATGGCAGATGTGTGATGGTACCGGTGACTTTATTCAGTATAGACGAAATTAGAAAGAGGCTGTTGCGTAGTATGGCCGGTATTAGCGACGATTTTGGTAGCCGGGATTACTCGGATTGCCTGGCTGTCGCATGCCGCCACCCCTACCGCCGTCACCGCCTCGTGAAAAACCACCACGGCCACCTCGTGCACCGTGCTGTCCACCTCTCATTACGCCTCCAGGTCCGCCTGAATTAAGTCAATAATGAATTGGTAAATAAAAAAATTAATAAATTGAAAAAGAATAATTTAGAAATTACCTGGTCCACGTTGCTGTTGCTGTTGCTGCTGTTGACCACCCATGGAGCGCATGCCACCATCGCCAGAGTTCAATCTGCCACCACTACCATCCAACATGGGCCTGGGTCTCACCTTCTTTTCCTCTACATTCAATTTTTGTCCACTCTCGTCAGGATAATAAATGGGCTGAAATGATTATAATAAAAGCAACAAGTTCTATCTTTATTAAAGATGATATATATGTATATTTAGGAGACAAAACTTACCAAGGAATTTAACACCTTGGTCACAACCTGTTGATCCTCGAACGTGATAAATCCATAATTAGGTACTCGTGCGGTATTATTTCCTTGCGGTTTACATCTGTCATTCGATTTACTATGCACGCGTAACTCAGCAACTCTACCATAACGTTCGAATACTTGACGCAAATCATTTTCAGAGGCATTGTGTGGTAAGTTGCCCAGGAAAAGTTGATGAGCGTCACTGTACTGTCCTGGTCTTGTGCCACGACGTTCTCCATCTAAGATAGATAATTACACGTAATGTAATATACATGTGCAAAACAAAAAAAGAAAATGAGAAATTAAGTAATTAAAATAATTAAAAAATAATTAATATAAAAATAATCAAGATTTATAAGAATATGCGGCTAAAAGGACTCATTTCCATATTACTTTAAATATGGAAGTTTATATTCTGCCTTCTAAGTTATCTTATCTTCTTTTTTTTTACCTTGTCCCCTTTGTATTAGTCCCCTTTGTACTAGTTCCCAATTCTTTTTACCTCTTTGAACTAATCCCCCTCTCGGAACGCGTTGCTGCTGAGGATGTTGCTGTTGTTGCGGTGGTTGATTTCCGCCCACTCGATGCGCCTGTTGCTGAACTGTAGATACATTATTGGATACAGACATAGACGTCGGTCCGTTATTTGTAGGATGTAATGGCGACCTATCGTCCAGACGTAGATTCGTCATAGGTGGCTGTAAAGAAAAAGAAATTTATTCTCTTCTTCATATTGCACATGATATTGTGCCAAATGAAACTTACCGGAGACATAGATAATTTAGGAGCTTGAGGACTAGTAGCACCAGTAGGACCGCTTGGGAAAGACTTTACCAAATTAGCATACGTTTTGGGTCCGCTGCTGTTGACAGTAGCGCTAGATACCTGATGTTCGGGTTCTGTCTCTTGTGCGGATGCAGTAAATGCTTCTGTCTCAGGCTGCTCATTCCTCTCCTCTGTCTGGGCCTGTGGCTCGTTCTCACTTTGCTGTTGTGGCTGCTCGCCATTGCTTAGCTCTGCCTCCTGTACAAACTGAGATTGAGCAGCTGGTTCGGCTATATATGGATGTTGCTGTGCAGGAGGTGGTGGTGGCGGTTGTTGTTGCTGTTGCTGCTGCTGTTGTTGTTGCTGCTGCTGCTGCTGCTGTTGCTGTTGCTGTTGTGGTGCTTGTTGATTGATCACCTCCTCGTGCACTGTTCCGTTCAACACTTGCTGTATCACCGGATGAACCTTAGTTCCAGTAAAAACAAAAAATAGAAAATTGCATAACCCATGGTAAATTATAAAATCTGACAAATTTAATTCTTTACTAATTTAAATCTGAGCTTATAGAAAAAACTGTTTGCATTATACAATACGTTTGTAACTTTAACTTTTAACCGGGCGCGCTGCGGCACTGAGTGTGCAAAACTTTTCTGAAAAATCATTGATAATGCAGGTCTTTTTTTATTACCGACTTTCGGTATTCCTCATTTAACGTTAAATTTTATTATTATATTTTATTAAATCTTATTATTATTATATTTTATTATAAATATATTTTACTTGCTTTTATGAAGATTGTCCAATTATTTGATTCCTAAATAATAAATTTGTGGCACGACATTGCCGCGCGCGCCTACTAACATTTGGCCAGGAGGCCTTCCTAGTTAAAAACCTTAATTTTTCGACAATAGCAATAGAAGATCAAATGGATAAGAATTGTTCATAATTTTAGACACGTATGGCAGCATTTTCAAGACACTGACAAATCAATTTATATGTGAGAGCCAAGATCTCTCCATATTAAGAATAGGGATAATATTATTCGTGATTATATTTTGTATTTTATTGTGTAGCTGTTGTTTATACCGGCACAAAGTTAACTTTAACAATCAGTCACATTACATTGCAAGTTCAAATTTCATTTTTAATTCACAATATAAGTGTATATATTCTTTAAAATCTTTCTTGTTTCATTTTGTTTTATAAATTGTTTTTTCAGTGAATGTAATTTAGATGATATCAGATAGACTTAAACTTGTCTTTGACTGTGTTTTATTCTAGATGAATATGGAGAAGATACGGGACAAAGGGAAGAAAAGTTATTAAGAAAAAGATAAGAAAATCATAATAGAGACGAGGAAGCGATATTCTATTCCGAAAAGTATATTAGAGATAGATTAAATTATAGATTATAGAGATAGATTAAAAGCTATTAAAAAGCAAGAAATAGCATTAAAACTACTGCACAGATAAGACTATAGGAACTTTTTAATAAGTTTTTATTTTTTTTATAAATATTTCAATGCCATCTTCTAATTTATAAAAAAAAACTAAGAAAATATGATATTTAAAAAATATAAAAATTTAGATACATTAAGAAAAAAACAATTATAATGTTGATACAAGAATAACGTTTCATATACTTTTATGTATACTATATGTAATTTTTTTCATCCAAAAAAATGTTAGGAAAACATAAATTGTCCAATATCATCTGACTTCCTTTTATCTTTATATTTGTTATACTAACGTGTGGTTGAGGTGGCGCAGCGTAATACATCGGCTGCTGTTGCTGCAATGGAGGTTGCTGAGTCGGAATGAGAGGCGGTTGAGCTTGCTGCTCAGTAGCTTGAGCAGGAGCCGACAGTTGCTGCGCCTGAGTTTGATGTTCATCTTCCTCAGGTTCAGATCGACCAATTTCCTCTACTTCTCTTTCACCGCTCTCACCACTATCCCCAGCACTCACGTCAGCCTCATCCTCATCGGGGAATATCAAGTCTTGATAACGGAAGATATCATTGTGCACGTAGTAAGTTTTGGGTGCTTGCACAGCCAATACGAAAGTCTGAGTAAATCGACGCATTGGTTGTCCGGCGTTAGACAGTTCTCCGGATACCTACATGATAATAAAACATGAATATGTAACTACATGTAAGTAATAATTATATGTTTATTAAATTCATCAACATATGCTAGATTTCATAAAAATATAATGTTTTAAGTCAATTAAAGACTATATAAATATTATTTAAAAAGTGAGCGTTAAAAAAATTAATGCTTCGTGAAGATGATATATGCAATATTTTAATACATATTAAATTTCTACTATTATATTCTATTAAAAAATAAAATACAAATCATATCGTTTTTGATGTTAATGTTAAATTCTCATCTTAAAGTTGATGTAATTACCTGGACAACAACTCCATTTTCAAGAGTAAGCTGAGAATCAACTTGGCTTATTTTGGCATGGCAATCGCGAAAGTTCAGTTGTTGAATCTTCTGATGTATTTGTTTTTGACCGATCGCCGGGGTACACTCTCGATTAGAATCCAATCCGCCGTGCACGAAGGAAGAATGCTGATTGTAGAACCTAATCGTAAAATTTATCATAATTATTGCGGCATTCGAAAAATATTCCTGCAGGGAATAACGCGTTGTTCAGTGAGGAGCAATTGACTTAAAACATTTTTTTCACATTACTTGCATTTTTTGCATTCAAGATCTTCGCTTTCTCTCTCAATAATCGAATATATATTTATCTCATTTAAAGTTTTTGTGATTTCAAGCAACGCGAATAGATCTATATAGGGTAGATCCTGAGTTTGAGTCTGACCCTTAGAATACTTCTCCATAACAGTCGGAATTTCGGAAAACAGAATCTCAGAAGTTATACGATCAATCAATCATTTAAATTTTGCATTTAAATTTTGTACAAACGAATGATTATGATCTTATTATTTTTTCGAGATTCCGTTTTCCGAAATTCCGATTGTTATGGGAAAGCACTCTAGGATGCAAATATATGATATCATATATGATCAGTCATAAGAGATTGAAATACAAACACTAAACACACATGTTTATTGCGACGCGTGTTTTATATAGTCAAAAAAACTTCAAATATTATGAAGGAAAACGTTAGAGGAGACTTATGTGCAACAGTTGAAAGATACCAATGTCTGTTTACTATTATTTATTTTTATTTTGTTTTTATTTATTTATTTATTTTTATTATTGTTTATTATTAAGTATTATTGTTATTCCTTGAATAAAATTTGAGCTTGTTACAACAGACAAAAAATTTACGGCCTAAATTAAATTGGAAAAATATAGCTTAGACAACATTACCTGTGGAGATGGGCAGGCGCCTGATTCAGCAATGTATAATACTGTCGGACGAACTCACGACCGACACTTTGTGGAGAGGGAGATGCCTCCATGACCATCTTCTTACTTTTTAACTTCTAGAATATTTTTTCGCTGGAAACAGCAAACTAAACGTTCAAATGTAAAATCTTAAAATTATTAAGGCAGATATCTGAAACAAAGAAAAATACATCTTTATTAGAGAGAGAGAGAGAGAGAGAGAGAGAGAGAGAGAGCACCGTGGTATAATTATAAAATTGTGGATTAAAAAAAAATTATTAGGTTTGTGAATAGGATATTTTTTTATACTTTTTTTAAAATATAATTTACAATATTCAAAAGTTTTTTATGTTTCAATACAACATTTAATTAAACAGATCAAAAGTATTGTATAATATTAAATTAAAAATATTTATTTAAAAATATAATTAAATTTATAAAGGTAATTAAATTATAATATATTAATAATATAACATATCTCACAGAATATGTTAAGCGAATAATATTTCTTAGAAAACACATGGCATTCTTATTATAACGAATAATCAAATATAAATATTTTTCATTATGCATACCAATTATGAGAAATAAATTCATAAAATTTGTTTAAAAATGTAATTAATCATATGTGTAATTTAGCGACATAAAAATGAATATTGTTAAAACGAAAGAAATTTCATCATTTGAGGCATTGTCGTCGCATATTTCGAGAATATATTAAACGCACGCACACATTCATTATATAGATATAGTCAATGCTCTATACAAACGTACTATATTTTATAACTCATGAATATTTTATGACTCCATTTCTAATCGGATTTAAATTACTGGCTGATTTATTCAATGCCTGTACTACTGCGCTAAATTATTTTCCACGTAGAAAAATATTATGATGGCCCATCCAGAATCTTCGAGTTCTCCGAATCCCAGGTATACACGAGGTTGCATTTTCCCTTGCATGTAAAATCCATGGGAGGGGGAGGGAAAGAGAGAGAGGGGAGGGATGTGCCCTTGGGCTCTGGAATCATCGCCGGCGACCTCGCGAGAGCTTAATTCCCCGAGCCCTCCCGAAAATCCAGTCTCGTTACGCAGCGCGCAAATAATCGGATACATGCGGCAAACACAAAGGGATTGGCGACGCGCGTAGTTCAGCGAAGCGCATGGCAAAATTTTCGCATGCCACCACCTCTCTTCCTCTCTTCACCCCCTCCCCTCCCCTCGAGATCTCTTTGTCTCTCTTCATACCTCGATACCTAAACCGCGCCAAGGATACTCGGCGTATCCTGCAAAGCACGTGTTTCTCAACTCGGAACGGAGAGTCCATTTCCTCGCGCATCCCTGTCCGGGAGTCCATGGAGCAGGATGAAATAAAAAAAGGGACGAGGAAGAAGTGCGAGGAAGAGCACGCCGAAGAGAACGCGGATGCGATGGGAGAGGGAGATAAAGAGAGAGAGAGAGAGAGAGAGAGAGAGAGAGAGAGAGAGAGAGAGAGCGCGCGGTCGCGCCCGGTCGCTCGCGCAAGCATGGCGATGTTTCCCGATGACCCGTACCGCGTACGGAAACACGCCAACGCGGACACGAGACGCGATGTCGAGACTGTCGAGAGTCCATCGGACAGGGCGGATCGCGACGGCGTGGCTGAGATAGCCGACGGGCACGGTCTCAGAGTGACGCGATTCCACCGTCGAAGGAGTGCGTCTTCCCTCGCATCGAGCACGAGGGAACGATGGAGCGAGCAATCATCGCGACGATGGCCTCGGCGATCGCAATGATGGCATTGATGGCAACAATAGAGCGTTCAGCGTGGGGGGTGGACTTACCTGATTTCAGACGGTCTCGCGCGCGGCACACAGCGGGGACGCAGCTATCGGGGGGGCACCTCGGCACGACCGGCAGCGGTTGCTTATCGCGCGGGAAGCCGACGGTGTCGCGAACGATTTTGCGAGGATCGGTGATGCCTCGAGCGATCGAGCGAACGCCACAGACACAGAGCCCGTAAGTGGCGTAAGTTCGTGGTATTAATTATAAAAACAGTTCGCGATTTCGTATGTATCGTCGTTTACGCGGCTTGTACTTGTACTGTGTAGTGGTATCGACGGCACTGTGTCAGCAAATGCGCGCAGAGGCAGAGCACCGCTAGAGGAACTTGGCGATACACGAATACACGAACGAAGGCGTCGTAGAGACACAGACGGGCGCATCAATCTGCTCGGTACCGGAAGCACCTGAGCGCCGGTGAACGCCGGTGTTGAAGATATGAAACGTGGAGCACCGATTTTCATTGGCCAGAAATGATGTATCTTACAAATCAGAATCTTCCGGCGCACGCGCTACCGTTCCTCTGAGTTCCTCGCCGTTCTCATTTCCGTGCCGATCGCGCACTCATATCACGCACGGCCGATCACGTGACTAGATGCGTTCGGCAATGCAAATCTGAAGGTTTGTTCGCGTCGCAACATGTTGTAATATGCTTCTATCATAACTCTTACTCATTCTAATGCGCTTGATAGAGTAGGAGCTGTGGTAGGAACATGTTGGAGCATGTTGGAACATATTGGAGCTTGCGACGCGAACAAAGATGACTTGAGATATGAGCTAATAGATGGCGAGCTTGATCACGTGATCTTCGAGCAATCCGAGAGCCAAGAATTAATTCCGAACGTTACAGAACTGTAAATTGTCCTTTAAAGTTAGATTATGAAATGAAAATTGTTTATTTTTATGAATAAATAAAAAATACCCTATTAATTAAAAATGTCTTTCGCTTTACTAGAAACTGATAATGGTCTTATATACTAAAAATAGATTATTACGTGAATATAGCAAATTCATATGCAAGGTATATTTTCTAAAAGAAAATACTACATTGCAAAATAAATTTCAGCAATTTATAAATTAAATCACTTGATTTATATTCGTTAGAGTCTTTAAATATATTAATGATTTAAATATATTAGTTTGATTTTATTTCATTCTATACGTGCAACATAAGCTTTGATCTAAAAATTAATTAGCAAATTCTTTGTTTTCAAATATATAACCTCAAATTTAAAGAGGAAAGAATTAAAAACTTACTTTTCTCGTTAAATATTATACATAACGTACTCCATCAATTTCTATTTGATAGTATTTGTTTCAGCGTTTGTAGATTCAGACATTATAATAGTTCAAACACACTATTTGTAAAATAGAAGTATCAAAAGAGATGAACGTATGTGCTAACAAATCAATTGGATACATTATTATAAATATATAGGTTGAATTTAATTTAGGCGCGAAAATCTGTATTAGCTCTGCGAGCTTGGTTTTCGAATCTGGAATGGATCGAGCAGCTCGATTGGCTCTAGAAATGTTAATACTGAACGCAGATGAGATGATATGTAGCAGGAAGATGCGAGTTTCTGAACGCACCTACTGCTTCGATGAAATAGCAATAAAAACTTTTGAAATCCTTTTTAAAATCTTTCCAGCAAATCCATTCAAATATTTATAATTTTATTTAAAAAATATTTTATTGGTCGCGTTCAACATAATATTTTTTGTGTTTATTTTGCAACTGCTGGAAATTTTATTTGCGCTAATTGGATTATGCTTTTAAATCTAGAGGAGTAATCTTGTCTTAAATTAGCGAAGAAAACTTCAAATATACATAATTGCAAAATGAATATCTTATCAAACGCTGTTGTTGTTTAAGGCTACATTCTAAAACGTCCTGTCCGATAAAAATTCTCTACTCGATTAATCTATATATTTATTATCGTATATTCTATATGTCTACTATTTTATATTGAAACGTTTTGGAATGCAGAAAATTGTTTTAGTAAATTTGTTCATTTTTATCTTATTTCTAGAAGTTATAATTTTAGGCTGACGCCTGACGTTCAATTTTAATTTTCAAAACAAATATCGAGCATCGATTTTCAACACGTGATCTGTTTTTGCTAAAAATAAGCGGTGTTTATCCAGCAAACGCTAAATATTCTTAAATAAATATTCGAAATATTTTGGAATATTCTAAAAATATTCATAAAATATTTCTAAAATCTCAAAAAAAATTCCAAGAATACTCCAAAATATTCCGAATATTTATGATACGTAAAAGAAATATTCAAATGTCGGTTAAAAATTTCATTTTGTATACATCATTACATAAGAATGTTTTATATAGATATATTCCGTAAAATTTTAATTTTTTCAAAAATCCTAGATCAGATTGTCTATAAATCAGGTTTTAAATAAAATTTAACTTCGGAAAACATATTTATGCCCATTTCCATCAATATCGATTAACCTTAATCTTGATTCAACTTACTCTTTGTCTTTTTTTAAATCTTAATTAGAAAAAGACGAAGAGTAAGTTAAACCAAGATAAGGGCTGCCGCACACGAAATTCCGCAAATAATTGTAAGACGTAAACTTAAGTCGACGAGCCAATCAGGATATTGCTTAATAATATTCTACGTAGTTCTCTTCTACATAATCTAAAAGAAATAGAAATAACAGTAATAACTTATCCATAACTTTATAATAAGGCGAATTTCAACCGATTGAAACTCGCCTTATGGATAAATTTAGTGCTACTTTAATTTCCGTTAGAATACATAAATCTAAAGCATTTGATTGGCTCATTGGCTTAAGTTCACGTCTTAAGATTAGTGTCTTACAGAAATTTTGTCTGAGACAGCTTAAAGTTAATCTACATTGGTGAAAATGGACATTAATGTGTTTCCACCTTGAAGCCCAGTTTTGGGGCTCATTTCACAGATGTAGAGACCCTCTAATCAGAGTTTGGAGGGCTTATTATGATTCTTTAGGCCGGAATAGACTATGCATTGAAGATTAAAATTAAAAATTAAAGCTTGAAATTTCACCAATGAAGACAAGGAAATTTTGGATTCTTTTAGTCAAACTTCAATCTTTCAATCTCATTCTTTAAGGCGTAGTCTGATTCCAGCCTTAGAAATAAAAATGCATAAAAAAAATTATCCAATCACATTTTTCGTGCAACTTTATAAAAGAAATGCGATTGAGTAATTTTCTACATGCATATATTTATGCAAATTGTATGGATATATCT